TAATATATCCACTCGGTGGATTGCGTCTAGCACTAGGACGCCCTCCTTTCCAGCTGTTGTTTCTGTTTCCTTCACTAGATCTGCCACCAAACCGACCACGATTCCGGCCTCTCCACCGACCATTAGAACGTCCACTATAATGAGTACCTCGATCATCATTGTTCCATCTTTCTGTTGGAATTTTTTTCAAAATTAAGTAAATAGGTTCAAGTGTTTTGGTTTGAGTCTTACAAAGAAAGAGAAAATTTGGATTTGGTGGGTTTCACTCGTGGAAAAAAATGAGTATATAATTGTGTAACACCCTAAGCTTTCAACACCTTAAAAGGTATCTCAAAAGGAAAATACTTAACGAGAGCCAGGATCTTTTATAAAATTTATYCAACAAAAGTAATAGTATAACGTTTACAATTCCGCTATAGAGAAGATAAATAATAACCTACTAATCTAGATTTCTTTTTTTTTTCTAGATTAAAGACAGGAATTTTCTATCGATCTCCAAAAAGTCGTAACATCAAAACGCAACGCTCGAAAGTAACAAGCCTATAAATACAAAAGAGTCTTTCACGAACCAACGCTCCTCTCGACCCTTTAGAGCCCCACTGCTAAGGAACCTAAAAAGTAATAATAACAAGAAAGGGAGAGGGTTAGGCTTACGCCTAGTGAGTCCAAACAAAGAGTTTACGTAAACATAAAGGAACATATATAAAAATGTACATGCAAATAGTTGCCGTAACTTTAAACAGAAATAGAGACAGTAAGACCTGAATAACTCATAGTGGGACAATAAAACATCCGAAGATGACGGGGGAGACCCGATTTATCGTTGATTATGACAAACACAAAGTAAGTCATAGATCCACGTTATAGAGCATCACTTACAGGTATAATACCATCGACATCAACCTAAACCAGTCATGTAGTCGGCCGTGATCATAAGCTCTTTACCTCGGTAATTACATAATAATCACAATGCCTATTACCGAGTGAAAGTGAGAGGATGAKTTGGTGATTACATAATAATCACAATGCCTATCACCAACTTACACCATCCTTCCCACAAATAAAATAAGACGACTTTCATGTTCATAATCCAATACCTCATGGTGTCATGATCAAAGGCGGTAAATTAAGCATAAAGGCACTTATACACAATAAGATTTTTATATAAGTCCTTAATCAAATAAAAATACCCTTCTTTTCTAGATAAGTACACCATGTGTAGCTTTAAGGGGTTCTCTTTTAGCTTTATGACCAAGAGAAATATTGTGAGGACACGAACCCCATTTTCGAAACAAAGCCTCTTTTAACTCGTCCAAGTGTAATTAACGAAAGTTTCCAAGTTTATGCACTTTTCACTTAAACCRCCCTCTTCAAATAAACAAGTAAATTCTACAATATGTAGGGCATATAATAGATAGAACACACCAACTCGAATAGTATGAGTTCTCGTAAAAAGGGGAGTGGGATGAACTCACAGTGCTTTTC